GTTTACAGAATAACATAAATGTTTAAAAATGAAATTACAGTATCGAGTGCATACATAACATACCCATATTTTGAAAACACAGCTCCAATCGACTTTCGGCACATAGGACAACGAAAGTCTTGAGAGTCTAGGCCAACTTCACGAGGTATTGTCGTTATCATTGCCGTCACATGCCCCGACGCTTCGGATGTTTTTCGAGAATTCTGTGAGATATCGCTTTAGAAAACTCCAAAGAAAAAATAAATCCACTTCCTAAAATTCTTGCAGAAATTATCACCTCTTCATCGTCTTCAGTGTCAGTATTAGCGAAGAGCTCTTGGGATTCATCAAAATCTTCCGTGAGCTGGAACTACGACATATGATTATACATGCTATAAGCATTTACAAATACTAGTAAAACAAACAATGAATTCTAGGAAGCATAAGAAACAGGGGAAGCCAAGCTGAAGCAAACAACATCTACCTTTTCATTGGATCCACTAGCTTCTAACGCAGTCCTTAACGCTTGGTCAAAGCTTACGATACAAGGACTAGTATCAGGGGACGATGATGAAGAAAGCGCTGAACTACCGCAACGATCCAAATCAGGCTAAACATTCAGTAAATAATCAATCACAACCACTTCCAAGCATCAAGCGCAGTCATTTGAAGTTTAAAAAAAAGGATAAGGAAGATTATTTGAACTGCTTCACTCACCAGGCTTGTTTTTGGCTTTTTCCAACCTCTATTTAATAAGCTGTTACTGCTAGGTGCCACCTCTGCGTGGAATAACTCATCGTGGAGAGAAGTTCCTACTACAGGACCCGCCTGCAAGCAAAAACTTCAACATAATCACTAGAAGAATGTAAGAAGAACAACAGTTAATTCTACCCGATAATCCAGATCTCGAGCACGAATCAGCACATCTACGCTACTCTCTCGCTCATGCTCACGTTCGCCGTTGCTGAAGACGTCGTCGTGACTTTCATCGAACACTTCACAAACGGGTTCTGATTGCTGTGTTTGAAGTTCTGATTCGGGAGCAAGCTCTTTGATATTATGGTATCGTGGAAGCTCAGGAGCTCTGATGGAAAGATCAACTTCATCTCGAGTAGATGGCTTCGATTCCTCTAGAATTAAAAAATTATAAAGAAAACTGTTGAAAAAGACTGATTAAAAAAAGAAATCAAGAACCTAGATATTGTGAACAT